CGCGCGTTTGGTGGCGGGGGGGGGAGGGGATGGGGGGCCCAAGGGGACGGAACGGGGGGTTCAGTTGTTTTTTTTTGAAGGGTTTGTCCCCCCGGCAGGGCAAGTTTTTGCTTTTTTTTTGGCCGTTTTGGTTTTTTTCCAAACTTGTTGCTGTGCTCCCTTTTCCCCAAACAGGGGGGGGGCTTTTCAGCTGGCCTGGGGTTTTTTTTAGTTTTTGGCCTTTTTCGGGCTGGGGTTTTTTCCCCCCCGACCCAGTTTTTGGTCCGGGGGCAAGGCCAAGTTTTGGTTGGTGCTTTTCCCCCTTTCAAAAACGTATGTTTGGGGTAGTTTTTCCGCTTAAAAATCCCCCCAAAGTGTTAAAATGCCCGGGAGGGGTACCCCCGGTTTTTCCTTGGGTTCCCTTACGGGGGGCCCCCCCCCCCCCCCGCTCACCCGATGAGGCCGTTGTTGAGCTCGAACGTGCCCGTGTTAGAAACGCCTGCGTAGAACTCGTAGCGCTTGTGAAGGTCGTCGAATGAGCCGAGGCAGAGGAAGTCCACATCCACGTAAAGACCACCGTGCCGAAGCAGGACCTGCACTAGAGAAACGTTCGAAACCGGGCGGGGCGGGGGGGGGAAGATGCGTGTTTTCAAGGGAGAGAGAACCGGAGAGGGGTCCGGACGGAATAAGGGGAGAAGTCCAGAGCACGAAAGAGGGGATGGTGGCAAAGGGGCGAGGTTTGTTTGGTGGACGGCGGTGCGAGTTAAGGACGCATCTCCAACTGCCTCTTCGGAAGGAAGGCCGGTAAAATCGTCGCTTGGAACGCAGTGAGTGTTAACGTACATATGGTATCCAATTAAACCCTTGCCCTTTCTTGTTGAAGTTGTCGTCAAGTACCAGATGCGAATACTGCTGTAGTTCTAAATGGGACAGAGGAAAGCACACACGACGGAAGCTAAAGCCAGCACGAGAACCTTACACACACAGGCCCACGGGCACCGAAACACGCGACAGCCACACAGGAGTGGGTACGACGCAAACTCCACTCATCAGCACACGCGTGAAATCGTTTCCGAGTGGTGTCTGACTACCATTGGTGTCATTCCATTGATCGGCGGGTTAGCGCGGTGGATGCATTCAAAGTTACAACACAAACACCCCCGCACGGCAGTCAGCGGATTTAAACGAATAATCGAATGTTTCATGCAACTGGCATCGCTATTCCGACAACATCCATCGGTGTCAGCGCTATCCATACCATGTAGGAACATCAAACGCAAGCATAGACTACCTACACAAACACGTGCACACACGTATATATCAACACACACACGGCCGACCTCGTAGCGTAGGATGTCCGACTTTTGCCCGAAGTTTTGGGCAGCGTCGTAGGCTCCGCGGTTCTCCAAGCCGAAAGCATCGACGTCAGCGTCCGTCCACAGCCGCACCTCCCACGGTGTACTGCCACCATTGCTCCTCTCAGGTCCACGCCCCTGGCTGCTGAGCCCGCTATGTCTCGCCAGCCACGACTCGCGAAGGCGGGCGAAGGCTTCGGGGAGCGGGCTGCCCAGCCAGATATGGTGGATCTTGAGAGGGATCAGAGCCTCGCCATCTCCGCACCGTACATAGGAGAGCGAAAGGGCGATACGGGGTGGAAGGAGGAATGATGCACGAGTAAGGTGCACTGCTGTGTAGGCGCGCGTATCCTTCGCAATCATTGCGCATGAGGTTCGTCGTAAGAAAAGGCCGGTAGTGGTGGGCTGTTGCTATTTACCATATGGGTCATAGCGTGCGAACGTGGACGAATGGACCCCTCTCACCTTCACGGACCGGCCCTGCTAGCCGGTGATGCTTGTTGTAGTTGTCTTGCACCAGTTGCATCCACTCAGCGTCAATCGGGGACCATAGCCCCCATCGCATCTTCGCCCTCGCCGAGGGAATCGAAGCAGCGGCAGCACCACCAGCAGAAGGAGAAGTGGAGGTGGGAGAGGGAGAAAAACAGTCGCTGAACGCAGGACGAAGTGGAGCCGCTGGACCAACATCATGAGCGCCCTCATCTACATCTACATCCACCGAGAGAGACATTGCCTGTCTCTGTGTCTAGCAGGCGTTGAGATAAATCCCACGATGAAGCTGAGGAGGAAGGTTAAGTGGCACCAGCACCAGCACCAGTACCAAGCTTCAGCACCCAGCACCAGCAGCACAGCAGCACAGCAACCGCTGTGTAACCTGTAACACAGAACAGAGCCCAAATGCGGCGCAATTGCTGTGTATTGTACAGCGGCTCCGTGAATCACCTCCCGGTCCTTTGCCGACAGTCTCAACCGCACCAAGACCACACACGACACTCGCAACGGCACTCTACCCTTGTTGTCAAGGAGGTGCACAGTGCACAAGCATGACGAAGACGCGGTTCACGGCTGCCGATGTGCGGGCAATGGTGCGTGACCTGAGGTCGTCCGTTCTCGGCTTGCGAGTGGCAAATGTCTACGATCTGGACTCCAAGGTATGGGATGAAACTTTCGACGGGACTGTCGACTTTGTAGGTGTAGTTTTGGACAATAACCGACACTTGCTGGAATGTGCTTATAGGCGCATGGCGCTGTGGAGCGGTGGTGTTCGGGCTCCGCTGTCTGTGCCCCGGTGACGACTGCAAGCACTCTCTGTTACATTTTTGTTAGCGAGTTCCCATCTCTTCGGCTGTGGCGCCAGGCAGTTGACGTGGCCCTTTCGCGCCAAAGACACCAGCAGCAGTGGCACATCGTCCGCCGTTCTAGACATTTTTGTCACAGCAAGCGTTCACAGCATCGCTGAGTATTGACCTTAACATGTACAGCAGTAGCTCAGGGGCGAGAGCAGGGGGGAAAGCAGAACCAATCTTAGCTTCGACCCCAGGAAAGCAAGAACCGCCCGTGCTTGTTTTTCCTGGAAGGAGGCACTTCTTGTCGAGGAACGGACAACGGGGCGTTGCGCGGGGCGTTGGTAGGTGTCGCATGCTACAATGTACATCTACGTGCGGATACGAATACCTGGTGTAGACTGCTGCATGCATAAATGCAAACAATTGACAACGTGAACATGCAGCTTCATCCGCACATTGAGGTCAGGCTCATACCTTGGACAGTTGTTCGCTACTGCACTCATTGTATGTCGTTGTAACGGTTGTAGGCTGCGGAGATGCCTCTGAGAGACAGTGCACCAAATGTCTACTACCCCAGTGTTTCTGTGATAATATATTTTCTTCGGAGTAGATTTCTACACATGTAGCCTGGATCTATGTATGCTCGAGGGGATTTTCAATCTTTGACACGAGCGCCGCCGAAGATGTCTACACACAGCAAGTTTTCTCGTGTGTCCATGGGCCACTACAAGGAATCGAGTAATTGATTTACAGTCCAGTCCAGAAAGCATTGCGTTACCCCGCTAGCGAACATAAGAAGAGCGAGTTGACTCTCTGACACAGCCATAGTGACAGCCTCTCGGAGGCATCCGCGGCAAAACTTTTAAGCGCCCCCCCCTTTGTCCCCCCCCCCCTCGGCCTTGTTTGCCATCGGGGTTTGGGTTTTCGTCGCTTGGCAACGACGTTGTAAAACAAGCCGCCCACTCGGGGTTTGTCATCGGGATTGGGTTTTCGCCGCTTGGCAACGACGTTGTAAAAAAAGCCCCCCCCCCCCGGGTTTGCCATCGGGATTGGGTTTTTGTCGCTTGGCAAAGACGTTGTAAAAAAAAGCAAATTACTTT